GATAAATAATATCAACTTTATTAGAACAAAAAGTAAAATAATTTAAAAGAAAAAAAAACTTACCAATAAGTACCCCGCTGACGATCGGGCTCCAGAATATCTAAACCTTCTCGCCTCGGTTGGGCAAGAAGATCCTCCACAGTATAGGCAGCATATGGTGCAGTCGGAGGAAGCATATCATTGGCGAGATAATACGCCTGAGAATCTGGCACATGCTCAGATGATGACGGTCCGGAAGACGATGTCTCGATACCATCAGTACCAAACAGCTCACTATAAGTAGGAGGTGGTCTAGTCGGTTTCGGTCTAGGAGCCATCTAAATGAAAAAAATAAATGTCATCATCTGGTTATCTTAAACTTATTACATAAACTAATTAATATGTAACTAAATTACGTAACCTAATCATCTAAACTAACCACCTAAACTATTTACCTAATTAACTACCTAAACTAAACTAAAAAAAAAAGAGGAGAGAGGAGGTTACCTTGAGAGGGTGAGAAGGTTGTGAGGAATGAACGAGGTGAAGAGCCTCGTATGCAAGTGTGCTTATATAGATAATTATATTCCTCGTAAGCTCGTCGTAAACTTACGAGGCTTTTACCAGGCCCGTGTTTTTTTATGACGAAGTTACCAGGTCCGTCTTTCTATTACGACAAAGTTACCAGGCCCGTGTTTTTCACATCACGACGAAGTTGCCAGGCCCGTGTTTTTCACATTACGACGAAGTTACCAGGCCCGTGTTTCTATTACGACGAATTTACTAGGAACTATATGAATCCCCAAAAATCAAATCCCTAAACCCCAAAGTTAATCCCTAAACCCCAAAGCTTCTTCTTCTTCTATAATTTTTTTAAACCCTAAATTTTTAATAATTTTTTAAACCGAAATGAATACTTTATATTAAACAACATTTGTTACACATCCGTTAATTGATATAAAAGAACACCATTTCGTACATATTCCCAACATTTGGTGAACCCTATCATGATCTACCATCTGTTCAGCACCCTGATTATATTCTCTATGCAAATGATTTGGTTCGCCATTATTACCGACATTCTGAAAATTACTATTACTACTACTAGCTTCATTTCCTCCATAACCCTCTCCCTGTTGAAACCAAATATAGTACAGTGGTGTAAAACCTCTATGCACTAAATGTTTCCACACAGTTCAGTACGGGAAAATTTTGAATTCTTGCATTTCTGACAAGGACATAACATCTTACGACTTTTCTACGTAAGCGGTGTACAGGCTGCCTGGTTCATGAACGTCTCTAGCCCGCTAAGAAGTGCATTCGTCACTCTACCCTTGGAATCTTTATGCGTATACATCCAACTCCGCAATTCGAAGATATTTCTTCTATCAGGCATTTTTTTGAGTTGTTTTTTTTTTTTTGGTGTGGTGGTATGAAATGAGAAATACTCATATATATATAAAACCCACGAACATTGGTAGGTGAAAGTTTACAACGTATTTATAAGGAAATATTTACTATGATATTACATGTCCCTTACCTATAGGTTACAACGTATTTACAACGATTTAAGTTAGGTTTACCACACTTTAAAGTCGTGTTCACCTACCAATATTTGTCGTAATGCTCTTGTAACTTTACGACGACTTTACAACAAAAGTGAAAAAAATTTGGATAAATTTTTTCTCTTGATTTCCTCCAAAAAACTAAAGGGAGTTCACGGTCATCAGAATGGTCTTATCAACTCTTCATATATATTAATCGAATTCTCGAGGAAAAGCTATGAGGAGTTTATTAGAACAGTTTTGCTGACTGTCCACGCCTTTTAATTTCTTGAAAAATCGATATGTAAGTCTTCGGATTTTTTTCTTTCATTTTTTATGTTTTTGATTGTGGTGTTGTTAGGATTTATTAGGAAGGACATATATATATATATATATATATAGGAAATTTTCGAGCTTGGTTGGTAAAGATTTGACAACAAATTTACAAGGAAATGATTTACTTGGATTTTACAAGTCCTTTATATGTGCTTTACAACCATGTTACAATGAAATTAGTAACTTAAGAACACGTTTTCATTTACTATAAACGATTAAACGCTTCGTCGTAATGGGCTTGTAATTTTACTTCTACTTTACGACGGAGCTTCCCTTTCCTAGTACACTCGTCGTAAAACAACATGTGAGTTACGACGAATGTGTTTCCTTGTAACGTTACTAGTTCGCTACGAAGAATTTCTGTTTCCTCGTAATCTAATAGTTAACTACTCGTAAACTTACGAGGAAATATATTTCTCGTAATTCTTCTTCGTTAAAGGCGTGTTTTCTTGTAATGATTGAATTATATATTATGATTTACAATTACAGTTTCTTACAATTTATTTTATAAATATGTAAAAATTTATCAAGTTTGAGAATCGCTTAACGCCATATAATTAATTTATGTTATAATTCATTTAATATTATAGTAAAATAAACTTTAACAAATAAAGAAATAAAAAATAAATTCATATTATTAGTATGGATCATGTTAGGATATAACACATCAGATCTGATTCTAATTTGCATCACATCATAAAATCCATAAAGTAACCATATGTAGTTCGAATTCGAGTTATATTAGTTTGGTTTAGATATATCTGAAGTTAAATCCAAACTTTAAAATCAAAACATAAGAAGCAAATATTTATTTATACGAAATTGGATATTTAAAATATTTAATTAAAATTAAATACTTATTTCTAGATACCCTTTCAAAATAAATATAGAATTGAATATTTGAGGTATATATTATATTTAAAATATTTATACTTGTGATTAATATTGACATTGGGATCGGTTTTCGAGTTTCTGAATTTTCAGCTTTTGGTTACCCGTTCGGGTTTGGATAACAACATTTCGGGTTTTGATAATGTTTTGTACCATCCTAAGAAATTCATTCTGGTATTTCTTACATTCGGACCGGGTTTAAATCGAGTTTTCATTTTAGGTCAATTTAGACTTTGGATTCTAGATTTTATACCCAAAATTTACTTTAAATAAAGAAAAAAAAAGATTATATAAAATTTTCATCAAAAAAATTAATCCGCGCTTGGAAAGCGCGGATCAAAATTTAGTGTAATGAGTTTTTCAAATCATTTATTATCACACAAATTTCTCGTGCAACCAATAAATACTGATAAAGTAGAACCAAATGATAGAATATAATGAATAACTAGGACAAGACCTGCGACTTGCGCAGGATAAATATATATATAAATATTTAAAAATATTATGTAGAAAAATAAATCTATATTCTTGATTGAATTAATATTTTTGTCTTTAATTTTTTTTTTAACTTTTTTGTTAATTACATAATTTATTTACTGATGAGCTGATCTCATTTTTAAAAATGTTTTATGTCAAAATATCACTTATCGCAAAGAACTTAACGTTTAGGTCAAAAAATCTCGGGTCTACATAGTTACAATGAAACTATGTTAGCTCGATTTTATATTTTGATCTAGCAATTTTAAAATTAATTATAGTTATGAGAAGTTTACGTTCACATGTCAATCTTATCCATCTTCAATTTTTTGTGTGTCTTTTTTCATTTTTGTTATTGCTCGATATAAATATTGATTTTGAAGTGTATTCTCATTTCATTTGTTTGTTTTAGCCTAAGATTTAGATAATGCTTAAGATTTGAAATAATTAAAGAGATACATATTTTGGTTAAGATCATCACTTTTTTTTTGCAGAATAAGTATTTTATATTTCTTATTTATTTTATGTTTTTCTGCATATTATGAAATAATAAGTATATATATATATATATTAAATAACTAAGAAATAAGTTAATATTATGTAATAAATTAGCGTGTGCATATAAATCTAACGATCACTCTTATTTATTCGTAATTAGAGTAAATAAATCAAAAATATTAGTCTTATCTATCGTATGTGATATATAATTAAATTTAAATGATATTAACATAGATATATTGCATACTTTTAATATGTATATTTATTAAATGAAGTTTCTACTCATATGATTTTATGATTATTTGCATATTTGTATAACAAAATTTTGCACCAACGAATTTTTTTTAATGTGAGATGTTTAGTAGTTCCAATAACTTATAATCATTTAAAAAAACAATGACAGATTTTAAATTAAAATATTAACTTCTCAATATATGTTCAATGAAATATCAAAATATTAGTATGTATTTACATATGATGTATAGTTTAATTTAAATATATATATATATATATATATATATATATATATATATATATATATATATATATATATATATATATAAACATAAAACCTATTAAAATAAAATTATTTCTTCATATGCTCTTATAATAATTATATCTTAATATAGAAAAAAATTAAACCTTGATCCTAAAAGTTTATGTACGACTTTTAACAGTTTTAGTAATTTATACTCGTTTTGAGAAATTCGAAATACAACATACACAAAAACAAATCTAGATTTTTATGAATGATTAATGTAATTGTGTAATTTATTTTAATAATAAAGTAATAAACAAAATGATAAAAAGTATAGAGATTGTTATCAAATATTTATTGTTTAAAATCATTAATTGACATATATATATATATATATATATATATATTTGAATCATATTAGGTAATTTCGTAGGTTTTATTTAAGAAAAGCCTGCGAACAGTAAATATTTGATATATGCGACTAACTATAATCTACGAAATATTATATTGCTAGGAAGTATGACTTTTAGACTATACATTATGTTACATGTTCTAGAACGTTCTAAAATGAAATAAAAGACATAGAGAGATGCCACTTTAGAATAGTATCAGAAATCAACAAAATAAAGTTGGGAGTGCATTCACTGATTCTCATCAACTTGGATTTCAGATTTTGTTCTCTTCCTACTTCTTCTTCTTACGTAGAAAAAAAATAAAACAGAACTTAACCTCGAAGTCTTAACATTTCCACTAACTTGTTTTCTCTCTTTCTTTTCAAATCATTAATTTTTCACCACAAAACTAAAGAATCTTTACAAACACGTCTCACTTTCTCTCCAATGGTGGAAACAACAACATCGAAGAAACCAATCCAATTGGGTAACAAAGAAGATCAAAACCCTAGAAAATTCTACTCTCGATTCCTCTTCAAAGCACTAATCATCGCCTTGTTATGCTCCCTCGTACCTGTCTTCCTTTCTCAGACACCGGAGCTCGCTAACCAAACCAGACTCCTCGAGCTTCTCCACCTAATCCTGGTCGGCATCGCCTTCTCCTACGGCCTCTTCAGCCGCCGGAACTACGACGGAGGAGGAGGAGGATTAAATCATAACGATCACAAACCTGATCATAATAACGCCTATGTAGCTAAGATTCTTGAAGTATCCTCTGTTTTTAACGTGGAACACGAGAGTGGTTCCGATGATTCCTCCGGCTACCACCACCGTAAGTTTCAGACATGGAGGAACAAGCACCACATGAAAGGTCCCGAGACTGTTCTTTCTAAAGATCAGGACGAGAGTCGTTTCGTCAGAGAAAAGCCTCTGCTTTTGCCTGTTCGAAGCTTGAACTACTCTCGTGTTTCTGATTCCGGCAGATGGGAGAGAGTGAGATCAAAGAGACAGCTTTTAAAGAGTCTCGTTGATGGTAACAGTGATGCGCTTCCTTCTCCGATTCCATGGAGGTCAAGATCATCAAAGGAGATTGAATCTCAGTCGTTGATCAAGACTCCGGCGAATCTGACGTCATCATTGACGCCTTTACCTAAGCTCAAATCTGAGTCTGGAGCGAAGGAGTATCACTTCCACGCATCACCCTCACCTCCTCCTCCTCCGCCACCGCCGCCGTTGCCGGCGTTTTATAACTCGGCGCCGAGAAAGGATTATCCTCCCCGAAGTTACAGAGAATCAGTTCAGAAGAAGAAACTCACAGGAGGTGAGTTTCATCATCCTCCGCCTCCGCCACCACCACCTCCGATGGATTATTATAAGTCCCCTCCGACCAAACTCAGAGTAAGATCGGAGCAAAAGATGAAACTCGATATAAGAAGCTCTCCAACAAAAGTCTGGTGGTCTGATCCAATCGCGGAAACGAAAGAAGATATCAGAGAAGACATGAACAAGAATGATGGAAGAGGTTTCTTGGGGAGCAAGGCAACTGAAGAGCCCGAGGATAAAGAATATATGATCAAAGGAAATGAAATCCACGAAGAGGGTGAACATAGTGAGATCGAGGAGAAGAAGATAGAAGAAGAAGGAAGTTGTGGGAACATCAGTGACGTGGACAAGAAGGCTGATGAGTTCATTGCAAAGTTCAGAGAACAGATTAGGTTACAAAGAATCGAATCCATCAAGCGATCTGCTTACAAGATCTCTCCTAATTCATCGAGGTAGAGAACGTATTGAATGTTGTAGTACCAGACGAGCAATAACATTTTTCAGTTTACTTTTGTTGTCTTCTTCATAAAGTTGTAAGAGATTTTTGTGTTATACTTATTCAGGCAGAAAAAAAGAAAAGAAAATGTAATTTATGTGAATAAAAACTCAGATTAATTATTCACACTGTCCTAAAATTGGCCTTAAGCCGAAACTGGGATGCAGGTTTTAAGAACAGCTTGATAAACTACAAGCGTACTTGCTTGTTTAGTAATGGTGTCACTGTGTTAGCACACTTCTTTGCTTGGAGTCCCCTACATGAGAAGGATGGTTGTAGCAAAAGGTCTTTTGTTTATTCAAAATCTCTTCAGTATAGTCGTATAGGTATGCAGTATAGGCAACTACTGTGAGGGCACAACAATTGTATCAAGATGCTCGAATCACTTTCCCAAGAAACTTATGAGAAACCTATTTTTTTTTTTTTTTTTTTTTTGTGTGTGTAAAAAGGCTTTCATTAAATTTAAAATAAAGTACAAGATATGATTTGTTAAATCATATAATTTGAGAAAGTTTGATACATTAAGTAGACAGAGAAAGAGCTATATAAGTTAGAAAACTTAGTACAACTCATAAGTTGAACCAAACTAGGAAGGATTAGTAGGAACCTCGACCTCTATGGCCTCGTTTTCCTCTGCCACGAGCTGTCATCCATCCCATTTCTTGGTATTTTTGTGTCGGTTTGATCAACCGCCCCCCCCCCTGTCATGCTTCCAAATTAATCCATTTGTTCAGTAATATGAAAATCACTCTCCATATTACTTACTTCTTGGATTGACTCGGTTGGAAGAGGGGTCATTTCTAAAGGATCATGTTCTGAGACTGTTGTACCCTCATTCATGATAATTTCTGATGGAACATTGTCCATAACTAGTAAAGAAGTGTTAGCAGATGCTGAACCTGCTAGTGTAGAAAAAAGGGTAGCCTTTGTGTCCGGAATTGATTTACCGAACAGAGTTATCCTTGTGAGAAATAGCTACTTGAAGAGACATAGAGTCATTAGTTGCTGGTGAAAAATTATTGTCCGTTGAGGACGCTCCTGGCTTCCCGAACTGAACGGGAACATGTTGAGGGTAAGGATAGTATTTTGAGGACCAAGCTCTTGTCCTAGAATCTGATCTACTGCTTGATCAGGTAGCTCATTTATGATGTTTTTGGCTTTGATACTCTCTGGCACCTTAGGAGTGACACAATTCTTCTGGACATCAGAATCAGTATTATCTAAGAAAGAGTCTATAACAACCACTGGAATTTCCTTATTAGTGTGTTCAGATCTTTTTTCATTAGTTGGTGAAATCTTGTCTTCATTTAATAGACACCTCTTTGCTTTGTGACCTCGACTCCAAGATCTTTCACAAGTTGACGGAATTCAAGAGTATATCACATCAACTAAAAATATGTTACGAAGCTTGTCGTCCAAAGCAATCTGTTTGGGAAAACTCTTATCGAGCTCTATTTACACCAATATCTTAGCTTCTCCAATGTTTAAGGGATCCAGCCTTGGCTTATGTGAAAGCATGGACTCACCTAGACCTGAAGCAATGTGTGAGATTCCAAGTCTAGAGAAGCAGCTGGTTGGGATGTTTTGTAGAGTCACCCAAGCTGGTACTGTGGAGATTTCAGGGATTTTTAAAGAGCCTTCTGAATTCCAAGGAGCCACAAACATTATGCAGTCATCTACATGCCAGACACAACGCTGAATAATCCATTGTCTTGTCTCTTTGTGTGGAACATGAAAGAGGTAAGAGGATTCACCTATTTCTGACTAAGAATTTGCAGCTTCTACCCCAGAGTCGGTTTACAACATCATGTGTAAGACCACCCGAGGGAGCAGAACAGCATTGAAATTGCCCAATCACATATTCTCCAACGTTCTCAGGGCCAAGTTGAAGTACCTTGGTTGGAATGATGATCTCAGGAGTGCCATCAAGTCTGAAAGTTGGTTTTGAAGCACGAATCAAGTTCCTTGTAGCCGGGTTCATCCTTGCAGCCCATGGAAAGCGGAGTGAGCCATCTTCTTTTAGTTCTGGAGGCGGCAATTTTTTAACTGGGAGGTTCGGTGAAGAAGGTACTTTCAGCGAAGATTTCTTCTTCGTAGGATTGGTACTTTCCTCCAGTGAAGGCCAAAATTTCTCAATCTGACTCTGCACCAACTGTGAATCATAGCTGCAAGGTGTTGATGGCTCAGGTGGTGTACAAGGAGGAGGAAACTTTAGAACGAGTGGCTTTGTCCACGCTCCCATCAAAGGTACGAATAGTGCTGGTTCTTCTTTCATGGTCACTTCGGTTTGGTGAAGAACATCTGGTTGTGTTTGAGGAGCCTCAAGAGACTGACTCTCTTTTGGTACCTGGTCAGAATTTGCAGGAGCATCCACAGGGAGACGATCAAAGATCCCCGAGTCAAGCAGGAGCGTTCAGAAGCTACGTCGAAATGAACGACGCCAAAATCAAAAGGATACATGCCATCGTACATATGGCAACAAGCTCGGCCCCCGTTATCGATCAAGTTATTGAGGAGACTCGCCGGACTCCATTCACAAACCAAAAAACCAGTGTAAGGTTACACGACGTCGGTAAGATCAAATTCCCCGAATATTCAGGTAACTCCGATCTGAAGGCACACGTGTGAGCCTTCCGGTTTGCCGTATCGAGAGCGCACCTCAATGATGAGGAGAGGGAAGCGGGCTATTGCCGTTTCTTCGCCGAAAATCTCACAGGCCCCGCCCTGGAATGGTTCGCCGGGCTTGAAGGGAATTCAATCGATGATTTCACCCAACTCGTATCGGCATTCTTGAAGCAATATTCAGTGTTTATAGAAACACGTGCCACCAAAGCCGACCTGTGGAACCTCAAGCAAGCACCTTTCAAAGCACTGAGAACCTATATAAACAAATTCAAGGAGCTCAAATCCAAAATATCGAGCCTAAACGAAGTAGTCGTGTTAGCAGCCATGAAAAATGGTGTCTGGTTTTCTTCTAAGTTCAGGGAAGAAATGACAGTCCGAGCTCCCACCTCACTAGACGACGCGCTGTATCGTGCGTCCTATTTCACAACTCTCGAAGAAGAAATATCCGCTCTGAAGGAACAATATCACGCCAACAAAAATGGAATAACTAGAAAAACCAACACCCCGAAGGAACATACTACCAAAAGACAGCATTCCTACGCAATAGACTCGTCGTCACAGAACAAACAATCGACGTATGACCCGAGCATATATTGCGCCTTCCACAAGCGAAAGGGACACTCAACCGAAGAATGTCGCGCGACACTTCGCAACAACGAAGAAAACAAAGAAAATGGTGAGGACGCGGAAGAAGAAGAAACTCCGACAACCCCAAAATTCAAAGATAAGGGAAAAAGAGGCAGAGAAGTCGAACCAGAAACGCTAGAATCTCTGCCTCCAGCCCCAAAGAAAAGAGTCTACATGATCCTATGGGGGTACGAACATAAAAAGACACCAAATCAAACCGCGGAACGAATAAGTATCGACATCACAATGACAGTACAATGTCTTGAAGAACTCGATAGGACATGTTCTCCTCATCTCAACCGAACAGCCAGATGCCACCACGAGCCGAAGAAGAACAACAAGCTCAACACGATCCGACGACTACTGGAGAAACCGATACATAAGAAAAAGCACAGCCCGCGTCTACTCAAACCAAACCTGTTTGGGGGGAGGGGGGCAAGGACACCACCAGCCGACTGAGTCCAAAAGATGGCACTTCCCAACGCACCATCAGAAAAAGGGAAAAAGGATCGACTTCATTTATGGAGGATCGAAATTCTGCAACTCTGTCAATTCCATCAAAGCACATCAACGAAGAGCAGCAACTATGAAATCACCTTTGACGAAAACGAAACCGTCGACCTCGATAAACCACACGATGACGTGCTCTTCTACGACGCATTCAAAAGAATGGGATTCACCAAGACGCTCCTCAAACAAGAAATAACCCCACTAATCGGATTTGCAGGAGAGACTACCTAGTCTCTCGGATCCATCGAACTCGTCACAACCGCTGGAGAGGTAAGAAAAATCGTCAAAATTATCGTCATAGATCGACCCGCTCCATTTAACGCCATCCTCGGGAGACCATGGCTCTACATCATGAAAGCAGTACCATAAAGTTACCATCAATGCCTGAAGTTTCCTATGCCGAGAGGAATCAAAACCATTAAAGGGAGTCAGAAGAACTCCATGAAATGTTATCTCTCAAGCATCAAAGTCATCAAGCCAAACCTGTAAGACCGGCCAAGAAGCCCCAAGAAAAAGAATCGTACTCGTGTACACGAACAAACCGAAAAATACGACCCTATTTATTGGGTAAACAATCGAACTATGTTTAGACTTGATCCCTTGACAAGGATACGTAGGCAACACACGACCTGAGTTCAGTCATTCACCACAAATAAATTTCTCGCAAAGAGATCAAAATCCGAATCAGGAAACAACTAATCCGCACAGATACATCTTTTCTGTTATGTAAAAATGCAAAGTTGTATACAAAGAACCAGTTCTGATAATAAGTAAAGATAAACCTTCACTTCTACAAATTCGATTTAACTGCATGAAGAGACCCTGATCAAGTCTATGGAAACAGTTAGGATCCCGCCAAAAAACATGGCGCTTCATAATAGTAAAATCATTACTCAAACACAACTTATCGACGCGATGTTTATCGAAGTCGATCTGTGATCACAAAGATAAATCAAAAGGTCTCACGCCAACATTAAAATGAAATAAAAAAAACCACTATTATTCATTCATTATTAATCACCAGAAAAGAATATAAAAAGATAGAACTAATCATCAACATCAAACTCGCCATCCTCGTAGCAATCCCTATTACGCCCCTGCTCGCCACCAGATTCATCTCCACCAGGAAGAACATTAGATAAAAAATCCTCAGGTAAATCCTCAGAAATTAGAGGAAGGTCCAACTTCCAAACCGAAAAATCCAACACTGCTGCCACATCAAGCTCGGCTCCTAATTCGACATCCTTAGCTCGAAGACGCGATAACTCGTCAGAAGCGAGGAGATATTATTCATTATCTCCTTAGTGAGTTCGATGTTAGCCATGACCTCCTTCAAACGAATCTCGCAATCCGCTGCAGCCTTTTTCTTCTCCCACTTCTTCTTCAAATACATCAGCACGTCCAAATAGCCGTCGGCTAAGGTCTTCTTAGCATCATAAGTCGCACGACGAAGTTCATCCGCGTGACTTGTATTCAGAGATTTGATCTGCATTTCCAGCACGGAAACTTGCTCTAGAGCCGACTTCCTTTCATTTCTGACGACTCAAACACCAGCTTTGAGAGAAGCAGTCTTATTCCCCAATTTCTCGGCTGCTGTCAATTGAGCAACACTGATACGAACCCTGTCCCGGGCTGTCTTCAAACTAAATTTCAGCTCCCAAACGACCCTCTTGACCTCCTAAAGTTTGTCAGCTCAAGGAATATCTCGCAAGCGCCTTTCCAAAGTCGCCGCGAACTCGTTATTAGCTTCCATAGCCTAAAGAACGCATCAAGAATACACATAATAAGAAAGTAAGCATTGTTAAGGACAAAATCAGTACGACGGAATCAATGACCAAAACTTTATGCAAAAATAAAAATACGTTTTATAAAACACGAGAAGTTGTTTTATAAAATTCTATGGACTTTCCGAACAAAGGAAGTCCGCGGAAAACTTGGAGATCATCATCTCGGGAGAACGAACGAAACAATCACTGATTACACGATTACCCAAGTTATGCAAAAAACCGCATCCGCCGTAAACCGCGAGCAGGTTCGACCGAACCAGTTCAACGTACGACGAGCTGAACCAGCTGGTTCAGCTCGCCGTACGGAAAACTGGTTGGTCCCTGACCAGCTCGCCATACAGCGAGCTGGTGGCTACGAACCAGCTCGCCGTAGGGCGAGCTGAACCAACCCGGTTCGGCTGGCCGTACGTCGAGCTGACCGTCCCGAGCCTCGATCTCCCATGTCCTTGACGCAAGGCATACGTCCTTCGGTTCGATCATGCTCTGAACCATGGTCAAAACGTCTCTCATTTCGTCTCGATCCGTCTTACTGTTCAAGTTTTACGATAAAAATCGTAAAAGTCTTCTTTTCTTGTAAAGTTTGGGGAGATCGTATAAAACAGCAACGATTAGACGGAACATCGTGCATTGTCAAACTATACGATCAACTCGAGAAATCTTATAAAAACGGCATCGTATCAGGAAACGATCTCGTATAAAATCATAAAACGGGTTTTTTTCGCAAAACAGCTCTGAAAGCCCAAAAGCGCGATAAAATCCCACTTGCGACTTTAAACGAAATCCAGCCCAAAGATACAATGAAGGTTTTACGATTTACTCGCGAAAAAAGATAAATGTCAAGTTTGAAGATAAATGTCAAGTTTGAAGATAAATGTCAAGTTTGAAGATAAATAGAAGATTTTCGCAAGGAAAATGGAAAGATCGAGATAAATAGAAGATTCCCGATAAACTCGAATCTGGGCGAAAGGAAGGACTAAACCGCCTTAGGAGGGAGTATATAAGCAGAAGGCCAAGGACGAAACAAGGGATGACTTTTCGGAGCTTTCGCCACCAAAACTTAGCACTCATGAATATTTTCGTTTTTGTTATCGAGCTGCGTCTCAACTAGGGTTTTAGTCTTAGATTGCTAGAACTAGGAATCTCGCCGACGGCTCACACAGCTAAGGCTAATCTTGTTGTACCGTTCTTATGCGAATTCGGAATAAGACTCCTTCTTGCTCTCAATCTCGTTTTTAATATCTTTTACTTAATCTCGTCGTGTTCTTGATTGCTTGTGTGCAGTTCCGCAGATAGCCGGGTCCTCTGGGAAATTAGAGTTTACTCTAAATTCCTAAAATCGACAGGGGTGAAATTGCAGTTCCAACAAGCATCAAAGATCAAAAGGCCAAACCAACCGACCTTAACATGAGCGACCGTCATCTTTACATAGGCTTCGCGCTCAGTCATGTTCTGAAACGAAGGAAGAGGACACCCCGCCGGCTTGAAGTGCCTAACAAAGTGAGCGACACTGTCGGGATCGTGTGTCATCGGACAATCCTTGGCATGAAAAAAATGCCAGTAAAACGGCATCGTGATCGCACCTTCACTTACGGGACCAGATCGAGCATCGTTCCCCGAAATCTTTGCTTTCTTCGGAGGACAACCACGCCCCTCTGATCTTTTCGGACTACCAAAACTCAAGAGAGTTGCGGTCTTCGGTTCTTCACAATCTTTGGCTTCGGGTCGA